GGATAACATTACTGGAGGTGGGACGAATAAAAGTGAGAGAATTCCCCTGATGCCTCAGGTCATTTGTAACATATGCAGAGGTGAAGTGAATGTAGTGGGAGTATGTGTGTTGTGTCTCTCTATGACAAAAAGAGTTGGGTTTGTGTGAGTGTGTGTGTGAGTGTGTGTGTGTGTGTGTGTGTGTGTGTGTGTGTGTGTCGTGCCAGGGCCAAATTAGAGGAGCCTTTCAAGTCTTGTCGATCTCCTCCTACTCCTCTGCATAGTGCTTGTGTTGTGGTCTGCTCAACAGTCATCCTCCCAGAACCCCTGCGAACTCTGTCTAAGTGTGTGTGTGTGTGTGTGTGTGTGTGTGTGTGTGCCCATATATGATATTGTAGGGTTATTCCCAGTGCGTGGGATCCCCCAATATCCTGCCGGATCTCTCTGTTGTGTCCCACTCTCTGCGTTTCGTCGCCTCCCCTCTCTCATTCCAATATCTCTCTGTCTTTGTGATTAATATCATCGAAATCTATAGAAGATTATGAGCACTGTCAACTCTGATTGTGTGTGACTCAGTTTAGTGTCCCTTTCCACACCGATATGATAAATCTGCAGCTCCGCTCCTGTGATGCAGTCGATGACAAACCTGGTCTCATCCCACCGTCTGCACACACACACCCTCAGCTCTTTGATAACTACGCCAACCTCTCTGCAACACATTTCAGCACTCTCGCACTCACTGTGGGTTGCGTTCAGAATAAAAGGTTAGCAAACTGCTTTGATCGTTAACAAACACATGGTAACGCATTATTTTTGTGACACACAGACACGCACACAGACACACACACCTTAATGTCCTTTAGGCGAAGACAAGCAGAAGATAGTGTACGTCTTTTATATGCTGTCAGTGTCTTTAAAACTCTTTCCTCCACATGCTCGATAGTAGCTGCCAACTGTGAAATAATACGAGATAATGAAAGTCTCAGCGGTGCAGCAGTCTTCATTAAAACAGTTTTCTGTATTTCAGAAACACATCAGCACATTACTCTCACCTGAACTCTTTCACTCCACTGTTGGTCCAGAAGGGCAACAATGATGCTCCTACCGGCACAGAAAACATGATTACCAAGTGTTAATTAGCTTCAAAACAGTCGACAGTTGCATTGTAATTACAAGCAAACTCCTTGTCTGTGTGAAAGGGTGAAGCGTGATCATTCTGCATATATGTCATCTACAGAATGATCATTCATTTATTAGTCTAAAATAGGTTTACAGTTGATAGACTGTATACTTTTTTCATTCCATGGCAGAATTACATATAAAGGAATCCACTTTGTATTTGATACAATTAACTATATGATCCACTGTTACGCATAATAATTCATGAAATTGTAGCAAAATTAATTGACTACAAAACTGTTAAAACCTTAATTACTCATTGTGTCAATTATCAATTATTAGGTGCTTGGAGTCATTCATTTGGACACATACAACTATATCACTATACATGAGTGACAACATCAAAGTATTGACCTGCCCAGATTTTTTTCTCTCATGATTCCAATTCATCCATTTATTATCTCACAGCCAATCTGACACCAGTTCTCCTGTGAAACACCACAGCTCCCTTAGTTTTGGCCTGGGTGGTGTCTAATACAACATGGCTGCACATGGAAAGAAACTGCCTGATCACAAGAGAAACCAGATTGTGAGACTTCATTAAGATTGGAGAGTGTGGCCAATTACTGAACATGAGCTGAAGCACATTTCCAGCGGTGGTTAAGAACCGTTCTGCCAGTGACAGCAGTATGGTCTTAATTGCACTAAAAATGGACTCAAGTGCTTCTGTGTCATTGACTGATCAAACAGTGTGAAGGACGTTGCATCAAGTCAAGCTCTACACTCTGTATCCAGCAGGAAAACCATTTAAACATCACAAAATTACAAGATGTAACTTTGCCAGAGAGCATGAAAAGAGGCCTGATGTATATTTGCAGCACTCAACGGACAACGTTGAGGTTGGACTTTGCTGCGATGAGTGAAAAACATGTAGTGGAGATGACATTTACTACACAATGACTGAAAGTTTGTAGACTCAAATACTGAATGAAGAGAAAACTCCCAGTCTCATTATTCAATAAATTTTGAATTAACTGGCGACCAGCGCTCTGAAACAGCTACGGCTGGGACTCATCAATGTAAGAGACGTGGTCGATTACAACAACAGTGCATTCATGAGGGCGCATTTCAAAGAAAGCTGCGGCCATTGAGCAAACAGGCAGGTTTAGAACAGACGCTGCACTAGTAGCTATAAACAGTGACATTTAGACATGTGGATATGACTCAGTCAGTGTGTGTGTGCATGTATTTACAAACACCTTTACTCCTCTGTGTGTGTGGGTGTGTGTCTGTGTGAACTGTGTGTTTGTATCTCCACACTGTGAGTGTGTGTCTGCATACCTGCCAGGATGTGCTGAATTGACTGGGCCTGGTCAGCGTGAGGAAGCAGCCAGGGGAAGATTGAGGCAGCCAGATGCGGTGGCCCCGGGCTACCGAGGATATCATTACCCCGGGTGTGTAGCCGGCCAAAACAGCAGCCCCCAAGTGGCGTTTCATCAAGGTGGACCCCCCATCTGTGGTGAAGGGGGAGGAGACCGGTTAACCTGTTGTCCTGCAGCGAGAAGCGGTATTAAGCAGCAGGTGGAAAGAGAAAGCTTCCCGTGACTGGAATGAGGTGGAAACAGGATAGCGTGCAGTCAGATAGTGAACCTACAGAGAAGCAGTGACACACATTCAAACTGTGGAAGATTGTCACTTTTGTATTCCCTTCCCGGCTTCTTTTGCAGCTCAACAGGAATCCCTGCAGTGCCTCTGTGTGTGTTTGCAGGCACGTTTTGCATAAAGTTTTGTCATCTTCTCTTACCCATAAGCCCCATTTTCCAGTATCATTTACCGCAATGTACAGTCGTTTGGGCTTTACTTTGAGCACACACTAAAAAGCATCTCTGAAAAGTTCCACTCAAAGCAGATTGCTGGGATATTTTTGGTGCGTGACTGACAGAACAACTTGATGCATGGCCACTGGCAGCAACATCAGCAGTATCTCCGTACGGGAATTGGACCGTCTCCCCTCAGTGAGGTAACCCATAGGCCATGAATCACGCTGCCTTGCTCCATAGTCCTGTGGTCCCGGGGGCTGAAAGTTTGACCGCTCCTCAATGTGGTCTCTCTCTCCTCTGCTCACGCTCCTCCCATCCTCATCACCACACATTCCAACCACCGGACTGGTCACGTAAGGTCATGAAAGCAGAATAGAGCCGAATAGAATAGAAGTTGTGTCTAATGTATGTTTGTTAGTGGGACTCTATTTGCTTTTTCACATCTTTGCAGATTAATAACCAAAGTTTGATGAGGGGAATAATGACTAATAGATGACAAAAAGGAGATTGTAATTGTTATGAACACAGGGAGAGACAAAGGGGCTCTAAAGAAGGGTTTCCTGTGTGTTTCTGTCTGCAGCTTGTCTGTTTTGGCAGCTCCGACATGGAGCTTGTCTGGCAGCCTGCCCGTCTGGTCCTCTCCGGTCTCTTGGTGGGTCACTGGTGTTTGGATCACTGCAGTTGGCTGTTAACCACCGACTTGGACCTGGGCCTTGCCGCCATGTGTTTGATTTAGCTTAGTCATTTATTATATACACACAGTACAAAAATGAAAGTCGTATATCAAAAAAGGTTTGCTTGGAAGTGAAAAACAAAAGAAAACACAAAGGCAGGATGGGAGAACGAGGTACTGGGAAGCCTAAAATGATAAATAAAGGCAGAAATTGTTGTAATGATAATAAAATCAGTGAAGTGCTTCACCAATTATAATCATATTTGTTGCTTTTAAAGAGCAGCTTAAGCCTTAGCTTAGTGATAAATGGACAGTTCATCCGGTGCAAGAGGGGCCCTTGAGAGAGTGGTTTTAACAGTGCCCCAGGCCATACTCCAACTGAGTTAAACACACCCTGACGTGTGTGCTTGTGTGTGTGAGAGCGAGACATGACACGTCTGAGGGTGTGATGTAGTCACTTCCTCTCACTGGACTAAGCGACTGTTGTCAGCTTGACCCTGCGCCAGTTAACCCCTCACCACCCCTGGCACCGCGGGTGAGGGCCCCGGGTGTGTGTCTGTGTATTTGAGAGAAACAAATCGTATGTGTGTGTGTGCAGCATGTGTGTTGGCAGACCACAGGTGTCTGGTCACGGTGTCAGGGTGTTAAGAGGTCTTCGGAGAGGCCCCGACTCTCAGCATCTGTTCGGAGGGAGGGGAGCGGCAGAAAAAAGGAGGAGAGGTTGGCAAGGGTTACCAACACACACCCTGAGGGGTGTTGGGGCAGTAGCTGACAAGCAGGTGCCTATGTTGACAATAACCCTTCATACTTGAACCCCAAGCACACAGCACACACACTTCCAATAAATCCTGGAGAGCGGAGTGTAATTGCAAAGCCTGATTGGAGGGAATCCAAAGGGAATCCCCCTTTTACACACACATCACTGGATCTCTTTGCCTGGGGTCAAAGGTGAGAGAAATAGGAGAGCGCACACAACTCCGACTTTTCCCTCTGACTGTGTGTGTCTTTGTGTGCAGCTCGTTTGCGTGCATGATGACTGCAGTATCCCCACACATGGAGACCATGTGAACACATGCTTCAGCTACAACATGGAAATGGGCCCGGGCTTGTTTCCTGTGATACGTCTTCTCCCAAGTCAACTTATACTTAATGTACATTAGCACGAGTGATGGAAATTCCGCTGTGTTTGTGCTTCATATTGTTTTTGTAAATATGTGTGTGGGTGTGTGTGTTGGTAAACGAAACCCATTTGGACTGAATGTTTGTTAGTCAGGTGTACCAGTGCATGTCTGGCAATGATTATTTTGGTAAAGGGGGGGGGGCACACAGCAGGAGGTCGAGGTAAATTGGAACAGCTGTTGATTAACATGAGTGCTCTCTCTCTGTCGTTTTTTTCTTTCTACTCTCAGTAGAGGAGGAGGAGGAAGATGAGGAGATGATGGAGGCTAAGCCAGGCCTCGAGTCGGAGCAGCAGGATGAAGACGACAACAGAGAAAACAAAGAAGGTAAGAGGACGTTCAGATGATGGAAATGTAAAAACTGTGGAGGTCAGCTTCTGATAACCACTTAAGGAATTTCCAAATTTTCTTAAATCCATTAATATTCTCTTATAAACTAACTTGAAATATGAGGCAGTTTATGCTATAAACTACTATTGACTGGATATAAAGATTGCTCCACTTCCTCCTGCTTTCTAGAAATGAAACTAAAATATCCTGGACGTGAATGCCCCCATCATGTGTATGTGGAGCCAGGTGCCAAGGCCCTGTCCATGCAGTTGTCAATCAGCATCAAATATCTAATTAAAAACAAACTTAGTGGAAAATGAGCACTTGCACAAACATCAGTGTGATAAGCAATAACTAAAATGACAGAAACAATCTTTGACATTTTTTTTTTTAACATGTCTGTATTTTTAACAGGCTGTATTTGTGACCTGTTCTGCAGCCAGACACCAGGTGGCAATTTCACTTTGTGGTCGCAGTCATGTTGTCCATCTTTATATAAAGTCTATGGTCACTACAGGCATTGCCATTCATCATTCTTAAGTCCTTACATGATGCTGTCACGAACACGGTAACTCGTGTGTGACACCCTCTGCCAGCCAGTGGGTGTATCAGACGGGAGGGTGGGGATATGTTGCGCCGGGGGTTAAGACCCGGCCAGCATATCAGCTCCGTGGCATGTGAGGGTCAGCGCTGATTAAAAACCTGTCACTTGACCACTCCCCCCAACTGCACTTCAAAGTGGAGAGGAAAAGAAAGAGTGCGTGTGTATAAATGTGCGTATGTGGAGGGTTCACGTGGTAAATAATAAAGACAGAGTTGAGTGATGATAGATATATTCATATTCAGCCACACAAACACATCCGTGACTGTGTCTGAATCACACACACTCACACACGCTCACACACACTCACACACACACACAGTGATGTATATACACACACATTTACTCATAAACACACAGTCATCCATCTCCTCTCCATCCGGGCCTATTAGAAGGTCTGGCCTTTGATCTCAGCCCCTCGATTCACTGGGTCTTTTCTGACAACTCGTAAGAAATACAAAGGGATGGGGGGGATCAAAGTCAAGAGGCAGGGTAAAGGTCAAAATATGTGTGTGTCTGTGCATGTTTGTGTGTGTAAAAAAAAAATTGCATGTGTGCTTGGGGACAGTGACTTCAAAAACGGGACGGCGTGCTGTGCAGCCATTACGTTCAAAGGGAGGCGGGTCGCTCAGAGGGCTTTGTTTTTCTCTTGTTTATGAAGTTCTTACTGTTGTTTTTTATTAGGAAAGGTGCATTAGGAACTGTTTGTAGTTTATTATGTCCTGGATGTGATTCTGGTTTTGATAGAGATGAAGTGAATGTTAATCTGACATCAGGGAGACAGGAAATATAAAGTATGACAGTACTGCATCTGTGAGCTTGTAAATGATCATATAAGGGCAGTTTTCAGTAGGATGTTTGTCCTGTTAGAGTAAGAAACAGATGGTAACAGAGTCCAGAGTCTCAGGCAAATTAATTAAACTTTAAATATAGTGGTTCATTTTTGTAAAAGGCTAAAAATGATATGATATCTTGTAATTTAATGAAATATATAATTTAGGAATTTAAATTTTTTTTTAAATGTTAAACCTCATAATGTGATATTCTAACAAAGAAGCAATCACAGGCATGCTCATTTATAATTTAATATTGTCATGTGACAGTGCTTTACATAAGCTCTTACATAGTGATTTTTAAACGTTTAGATGATGTATTCATTGTCTTTCCACTCATGTCAAACTGAGTGGAAAGATTTTGGTTTTCTTTCTGTATCTTTTTCATATAAATAGATGATACATTTGTTTTAATTAGATTAGATTAGATTTTTTTAAAATAAATCTCTCTCATAAAGAAAGAAAAGAGACTGCAGTTAGTGTACAGGGCTCAATGTCTCTCTCACATGCTCAAGCGTTCATATTCATCTTCCCTCCATCAGGCTCATTGTCGGTGCTGAGGGAGCTGACAGAGGAAGAGCGGCAGCAGATCCTTCACTCCTCTGAGTTTCAGAGTTTCTTTGACTGCAGCATCCGAGTGATGGAGAGAGCTCTGGCCGAAGACAGCGACATCTTCTTTGACTACAGCGGCCGAGACCTGGAGGACAAAGAGGGGTGAGCGGGGAGGAGTCGGGGAGGAGGAGGGAGGATGTGTTTGGATGTGGAAGCACATGTGAGTGTTTACTTGCATGCTGCGGACTGAGAAAATGCGCAGAGACTGACTCATGCCCACTGTTTCACTCCAGGGGCCTCTAAGCTCCTTTGTTCTTCGAAATGAATATCTTCTTGCTGATGTCACACTCTGGGGGTTAAAACTCCTGTGAACTGACAACCATCACATCCTGAAGAGCATTGTCCTATTGCCATCTGAAGGGTCGTCTCCATGTTATCCATGTGGCAGTTGAAGTTGTTAGAGTCATAAGTCCAAAGCTGGTTCAGTATCCACAGAAGAAGGCTTTTTTACAGACTTACTTCAACTTTGACCGCTGCAGCCGCAGAGAAGCATCAAGCCTGTGGTCAAATAGAGATTATGTCTAAAACAGGCCATGACCCAGCACTTAACCTCACTCCCTTCTTTTTTCTTCTCTGGTAACTTGTCCCTTTCTGGGGTGACAAAAAAAAACTGTGGTGAAGGTGGTACTACTACTACTGTGACCACTGACACAGAACTCTTCACTTTTTAAGTTAACAGATATGTTTCAATTCCACACTAGTGATACAAATCCAGTTTGGCCAGCCAATCAGAAAACTCTGAACTGAACAGATTCTACTTTCTGAAACATGCAATCTGTCATGTTAAAAGGAAAGACATTTTTAAAGAGGTATTTAAGCAAATAAGTAATCCATGTTTACAAAGTTGGGAGACAGATTAAAAAAGAAGGGACAAAATCGAGCAGTAGAAGTTAAGATATCCTGAGTGTTAAGGAATTTGGATCTTGCAATTCCCATAATGCAACTTAATAGTGTCCTTGATTAAATTTGATGAGCCTGACCACAGGTATTTTTCCAATTTGAAAGCTACTTCAGCAACAACAGCATACAGGCTAAGTTCTTGCTGAGTTAACTGAACTTGATGTGTAAAATATGTGTAGTGCCCCTTTAAAGTAAGTTTCTAGTTCCAGTGTTTTGTAAAAGTAAAAATGTCATTATTCCTAAAGGTTTACTGCTGACTAATATAAGGGAGCACCGCTAAAGGTCTTGATCCCTGAAATGCACAAAGAGAAAAAAGTTTGTCCTGCTTATTTACTGTGTCCTGTGGATTAAAACTGTGATCACAAAAGACCACCACAGACTGAAGACTTTATTTCTTGGCAGATAACTACTTACGTACTTTGCCAAGTGTCTGTTGTTCGACGAATTAATCTGTTTTCTCCAGGTCTGGTCAAGAAGTAACCTTTGACCCTTTTCTCTGCCTCCAGAGACTCTGGTAGTGGCTCCAGTCTCTCTTTCAGTAGACTCTTCTACGATGAACACTGGTCGAAACATCGCGTCGTCACCTGTCTTGACTGGTCCCCTCAGGTAAAGCCTGCAGCCTTTTGTGCGCTTGAGCAACCCCTGGTGGTTGACTACAATATAGATCATAAACCCTGCCTCCTCCATGGTAACAGATGGGGAATGGGCCAAATAACAATGTTAGAAGTACACATGAAAATTTGTTTTCTCAAAAATATTTTTTGTCGTTTTAGCACATTTTTAAAACACTGGTTAACACACTGGTTTGTTCAAGTGTTTTTTCATTAAGTTTGGTTTTAATTAGTTATTTGATCCTATAAAAACAGGGTAGGATGTCATGATCGACAGCTAAGACGCTATGATCACCTTCTGCACACACTCTGCCTTCACCTATTGTCAAAAGCACGAGATGGCAGCACTCATATCCAGGATATTCTGGCTTCATTTATTTTCTACAATAGGAGGAATCTTTGTTTACAGTATAAGTGTAACTACCACATTGTAAAAGCAGACAAGCAAGTTTAAAAAACTGAGGAGAATGGGAGCAGCTCCATCAGAAACTTGTTTGTGTTTATTAACCTCCACCTCTCTTTTTTGTCTCTCCCTCAGTATCCAGAGTTGATGGTTGCATCCTACAACAATAATGAAGATGCCCCTCATGAACCGGACGGTGTTGCCCTGGTGTGGAACATCAAATTTAAGAAAGCAACACCTGAATACATCTTTCACTGTCAGGTACTTATCCAACTTCACTCAAATTTCCAATTCTGTATAATATAATGTGAATAATGATGGCCTGTTACTGTGAGGAGGAAGTTTGCCATTTCCTTTTGTCCCTTTAGATGTGGTGAATTGTGAGAATGTAACTGCCACAGAGCTACAGTACATGGTGAAAATGGAACAAAGCGTCCAGTAATCTACAGCTCTCCTGCTCTTTTCTGCTGTATAATGGCAGAACCTTTGTAAGTGAAAATAATGCACGAAATAAGCGGAAATGGAAGTCAGCTACACATGCATTCATTTGACCCTCCTAGATTGGATTATTTCTGATCACTGCCTCTGGAGACCAGTTGTAATGGAAGAAACTGAGGTTTTGGTGGGAAACAAACTCATTGACAAGTGTGACACTAATAGTAAGTGACACTTCGAAAACGGCAGAAGGAAGGAGGGAGAGAGGGGGAGAGAGGGGGAGAGAGGCGATTGAAGGACTGGGTGTGAGGGCTCCATGGCTCCCAGGAGACAGGCGAGGCCATATAGAGACGTCTTGGTAGTAAAATGATGTGGCCTACCGCTTCCTAATCCCAGCCTGCCACATGTGTGTGTGTGTTAGCCCACCCACATTGATGCAGAATTTAATGTCAGTAAAGTTTACTTCATGCAAACCACCATAGATATGGAAATACACCTGTAGTCGTATAAATGTCGCAAGCAATCTGGTCACTGTAGCAGAAATGCACCCACATTCAAGTTTCGTTCACACAGAGGAAGTAGATTTTCTCTCTTTTTTCTTAAATGCACAGAGACCACACGCTGCGTGCAAATATTTCAATCTAAAGCTCGCCATACAAGTACAGCTCCATAATGGATTTTTAAAGGCCTCCATTCTTTCACTGCACCATAATTTATGCTGCTGCTGAATTTCATGTGGTCTTGGCTATAGATTACAGCCATGCATCTTGTAGCCGAAGGATTCAGTAGTTTTTCCATGTGGGTATCTGACAGAATTTGTGCAGTAAAAATCTGACTTTTTTTTAACAGTGTTGTTTCTGAGCATGCTGATATGTGAACTGTCAGTGTTAAAGCAGCTGGTGAAATGCTTAGAATTAAAATGGGGCTTCAAATGTGTACAAGTGTTAGCGCAAATGCACTGATGAGATGATGATGGCATTGAAAAATTACAGAATGACGCATGGTCGTTGTAGTTTGTTTGGAAGTTCTGACACACACAAACCACCTCTATACGAACACAGTCCATTTTGTTCCAAGTGAGTGTTTACTGGAAGGTTCTGCATCGGATGAATTGATATCAGATGGAGAAATAAAAGAAGAAAGACTTAAAAGAAAACAGAAACACTCAAGTGCCCCGTTTTCCCACCCCAAACATGTTAGTCAGCGAGTTAGTGCGGCCTGGGAATGTGCCACAGTCTTTTCACGAAGGGAGAAAGAGAAGTAAATGACAGAAAAACAGGAACATAAAAAAGAAAGGCATTGAGAGCAGATTGCGAAAAGAACAGGGATAAACAGACGAGGATAAGATGTGGATAAGATAATGAGATGTGAAAAGAGAAAGAGGAGGTTGCATGTCATTGGGCATCAGCGCCGCCTCCTCCTCTCGTGTTGGATTAGGATGAAAGGAACGTAGGAGTGGTTAGATGAGAGGAAAGAGGACTTTCGTTTGCAAACAGAGTCGCGGCTCTCTAGTTAGCCGCGGATCAAAAGGCTCCTAATGTGCGAGCATGTTCTAACTTTGAATGTTTTTGGGGATGCTGGGTGCCTCTTCCTCTACTCTGTATTTTTATTTCCACCGTCCACCTCCCGTCCTTAGCTATACTTGCTGTAAAAATGGAAATCATCTTATGACCTTCTTTCTGTGTCTCGCGGCCCATCAGGGGGTCCCAACCTCTAATTTTTGGAACCCCTGGTCTATTTGACTTATAATTTACAAAATGAACATCATGCAGTATTGGAGAAGACATCAACCTTGTGATTGAGACCATGAACTGTTAACTGACATAATAAATCAAGTGAAGATGTCTCATACATTTCTATAAAAGCTGACAGGTTTCAGCCACTTCACTTTCCGGACTCGTAGTTTATATACGGATATGGGTTCACAGATACATACATATTCATGGATCGGGTTGCAGTGTGCCGACACTTTGAAACAGCCAACGGAAAGCAATAAAATGCACTTACACCACATCCAGTTAGTCACCTCTGTTTCTCATAGCAAGAGAGGGAGAGGCCCCGGCTGTAAATTGGTCCTCATCACTTGCTGCTGAATCTGGTTGGTCTGGACCAAGCTCCTTTATCCTTTTTTTGTCTTGTGAAAGGGTGTTTTTGTAAATAAATGACCAGATTTGTCGCAGTTCCACTTGAAGTCGCTGCCGGTCAGCCCACAGCGGAAGTAACTCAGTGATGGTGGACGTATCTGAGATGGCGTCGAGGATTGACGAATCATATTAGTGAAATTGAAATCAGTCCCTATTGGCTGTAAATTAAAGTGGAAAATCTGCAACTACCAATTAAAGAGCAGCCTCAGGTCCCCTGGTTGCCCCACACCAGGGTGTATATGTATTTAGACAGAAATTTACATTTAAAAACTATTTCTACTGAATGCTCACAGGTGCTTATGGCCTATTAGGCGCATTGTACGAGTGAACAATTATTATTTTATGAAATTATGTTTAACATGTTTAAATAGGCTTTTCTGTTTCAGGATGTTGGAGGGGGTGGAGCCCCAGCACTTCGTATTAACCAGCCGCCACCGTGTCTTAGTTCATCCAGACTTGCCCACAGAAGCAGCTTTCATCTGGTGGCTAGATAGGTACATGGGTTGACCACTGCCTGAGTGTGTGCACGTGTTTGTGTGTGTATCATACACATGTGTAAAGACTGTGGTGTGTGTTCAAAAGAGAAATGGAGTACAGATACAAAAGAATGATAGTGCTGGGCCGGTATTGGAGGGTTGGGGTTTGTGGTTGAGGTCTGGTTCAGCGGGGGACTGATTGTATAAGGCTATGGCTTATTGGAGGCTTCATGTTACAGATGGGGTTTTGGTGAGGTCAAGCTTCAGTATTTTCTTGTCTGGCTGTTGGTGTGTTTTTGGATGAATGGGCTCAGCAACTGTCATTGTTTCTTAACTTCACCAGGGTTTTAATATTTTTGGTCAAACAGGAGACATTTTTCTTGTTGGGATGAGACAAACCTACTGTCAGGGATGTTGTGTATTTCAAATAGGCACTTAATGATTTTTTTAAAGAACAATTAGTTGTTTTTCACTCTCCTTAAGCATCCTTCTTGACATGGTGTGAAAAGTAAATCATTTAAAAGCTGGCATGGGTTTGTGTTTTTTGGAGGGATGTCAGAGTCACTTTAGGCAATTGCAGTCTGGAAATTGGGTTCAAATATTTTTGGCAGTCTGCAGTTGTGTTGTAATGTTGCATTCTAACGCAATAATAACTTGACAAATCTAGTTCCCATATGAAATAAACAGAAAATTAACAGAAAGTTCACAGCTATGCATTAGTTTGTGTCTTTCCCTTAGTTTTACTTGACCAATTTTAGAATAATTTAACTCAATAATTATGCATGGCACAAAATTAAGTGTACTTCAAATTGTTATTTAACAGTGGTATGCAGTTATCCAGTTTTACCGACAGTAACATATTTATTGAAGTTATAAAATATCTTTTGAGGATGTTTTAGTTGTTTTATAATTTTATTTTATTCGAATGAAATGAACCATAGCCACAACGAGATATTGTTCTTGTACAGTGAATAAACTGCATCTGATATTAAACAGTTTCCAGTGTACGAAGAAAAACTTTACAATTCCCTCAAGGATTGGAGGCAGTTTCATGACCATCACTTCAGGAGCCATTGATCTGTAATGTAGTGAAGGAAGTGTGTGATCCATCACTGAGTGGGTTGGGTTTGTACTTCAGTAAAGGGGCTACTGCTGCTGTGCCTTTCCCCACATCACGGCCGTCCCAGCAGTTGAACCCATCATCGCCCCGTCCCAGTTGGGTCCAATCTTGTAACTTCACACCAGTCTCTCAAGTGGGCAAAGTCCGACCACATTAAAGGGCCTGTTTGACTTAAAACCTCTGCCGAAACCCCCAAACCACACGCCTCTCTGCAGCAACCCCCGCCGCTACTGTCATATCCCATCGGACTCAGTCATATTTTTATTAATATCTCGCTGCCGAGCGTCGCTCCAAAGGCCTTTGGCACTTTCAGAAAGGTTGAGTAAGAGAAGTGGAGCAGCCAGGGAGGAGAGTGAGTGAGTGGGAGAGAACAGAGAGAGAGAGAGTACGAACGAGAAGCAGGAGCATTATTTACAAGCTTTATCCGAGATGGAACCCATGTGAAGCAGCATTGTGTCCAAAAGCTTAACAGAGAAATCCTCTAAGTGCTCACTGAGCAGATGGCTAAGACTGTGTGACTGTATTTGATTTGTGGCATATGACACAGATGTAGCTACTGGTGAGGAACATTCAGGGCTCTATTTTAACAATCTTGTAAGTACATGGTCTAAAAGTCATGGAGCAAGTGCATTTTGGCTGCAAGGCTGCATTGTCAGGTGCAATGTTTCAAAAGGTTTATCAGTCTTCTGATTATTCATTGGTGTTGTTTTAAAAAGCGCAATAAACTAGAAGGACTATCCCCCAAACGTCTAAAATCAAGGTGTGGTTGGACATTAATGGATTGCTGTTATTGGCAGATAGAAAGAAAAAGCTTCTCTGCAGAGGAAACAATTCTGCTCATGTGTGGAGTGAAAGTGCACAAGAAAACCATCTCCAGCAACAGTAGGATTCCAAACACACAAAGTTGTACACCAGCAATGTGCGGGCACATATTTCTATCTTGTTAATGCATCCTTTAAATAACAGTGAAATCCTGCGTCACTGACTTCAGACCAGGTTTATTTTTGTCAGTTTTCTGTTTTCTGCTGCCTCAACACAGAGATGTGCCAACAACATGCGCCTGACCACAACTCTCTCAAGACCAAC